GGGTGTTTCTGGGGAGGATGGGCTGAGGTCTTTTTCTCGTACAATGGGACCCTCATCCTGGGCCTCCTTGCTGGAGAATGGGGGTGATCTATCTTGTGAGGTCATTTTGTTCTTTGAACCAGCTGTAGCCACACTGTGGGACTGTCCCCTGAAGGCCAACTGAGGTGCAGTTTGTGAGAGAGATGAGCTGGTCCTTTCACCTCTCCGACTAGCAGTAGACACGCTGTGGGGCTGCCCCCTGAGGTTCTCTTGAGGTGAGGTTTGTGGGAGAGATGAGCCGATATTTTCACCTGGTATGTTGACATCTTTGCACTGAACTGCCTCCATTGGGGTGTGATGAGATAAAGCCTCCTGTGAGGACACCTTGTTCTTTGATTTGTGAGGGCCAGCTTTGGACACATTCAGGGATAACTTGTTGGAATAAGTTTCCAGTCTTGAAGACACTCTGGTACATATTTCATTGGAGGTGTTAATAGTGCTCTCTGAATCCCCCCAAGTGCTATTCATGAAGTTAGCCTCATGTACACGATGGGGGCAGATTCTTTCAACTGGGGCTATTTTCTTGTTAGGGCAGTTCACGGTGGAAGGCATACTGTACCTCGTTCTCCCCTTTTTGTCGTTCTCAGGACTCTCAGGTAGAGTGGGCAAAATGGAAGAACTGAGAAGGATAGGGACACTAGATCCCCTCTTTATAGCCACTTTAGGTATCCTGGAAGGCTCTGTAACATTCAAGGTTCCAGAAGACTGCTTGGGCTGAAGATCTTTTATAATGTCGTCTTCCCAGGGTGACTGCTGCCTTAGAATCAAGTAGGTGGCCATCACCTGATCGAACTTCTTCTCCTGTAAAGCTTCCATTATCTCTCCTTGCTTATAACCCATGACGCCCATGATGACCATCACAGTGGGGTCTGGGTAGCTGTCCTCATCGTTCTCTCTAAAGGGATTGGGAGAACCTTCATTGCCATGCTTTAGCCATGGAAAACTCACAATGTCATCTATTCTTGGTCTTTGTGCAGGATTTACAGTTAACAACTTAGCAATAACATCCCAAAGCTCTGGAGACAGATTGTATTCAATAGAGTACTTTCCTGCCAAGATCTTCTGCTTTATTCCTCCATAGGTAACTCCTTTGAAAGGGAGGCGCCCTGTCGACATAAAGTAGAGTACAACCCCCAAACTCCAGATGTCAATTGCTTGGCCATCGTAGTCTCTACCATCTAAGATTTCTGGGGCACAATAAGGAAGGGTCCCACAGAAATATGCTAGCTTCTGCCCCATGGTAAGCTTGGTGCCCAACCCAAAATCACTGAGTTTTATATTGCCTTTGCTGTCCACTAAAATATTTTCAGGCTTTAGATCCCTGTGAGCAATCCCTTTCCTGTGACAATACTGGAGGGCACATACCATCTGTTTAAATACCTTTCGGGACTCATCCTCCTGTAGGTAGCCAAACAGTACAATCCTGTTCATTAGCTCACCGCCTGTGGCATATTCCATAACCATGTAAGTGTTATTTGTGGTGTCGATTATGTGCAAAAGTTTAATAATATTGGGATGGTCAAGAGATTTCATTATTTCAATTTCTGATTTGATGAAGCTATTCTTTGTGCCTTTTGGAAGAACTTTTACTGCTACCCTTGTCTGGGTGAGTAGATGGCTAGCCAACTTTACTTCTCCGAATGCTCCTCGGCCAAGGGTCTTTAGGATTTTATAGTGCTCTGTTAAAGCCTCTTCGTGAAAGGAGTTGTGCTGTAGGGTTTTGCCTTGAGCCACTTCCCACTTCTTCATCTTTGTTGATATAAATGCTTGTACCAACACCAACTAGTGATGCAAGATAAAAATTAATCAAAAGCGGGTCTAGGAGAAACATTTATAGCTATAAATTCCTGCGGTTAAAAAAAGATGGATGTCCAAAATAACCTAATGATGCATGTCATGGTCATAGGAAAACAAGAACAAGCCAAACCCAAAAGAAATAGAAGAAATGCTCAAGTCCAGAGCAGAAATTGATGAAATGGAAACTAAAATAATACAAGGACCAATGTAAAAAAGACTTGATTATTTTAAGAATAAATATAATTGAGGTAATCTTAACCAAAATAACTAACAGAAAAATTTAAGATACAAGTTAACAATATTAGAGACAAAATAAGAAACTAATAGAAAACTTTAAGATACAAGTTAATAATATGGGAGACAAAATAACATAGTATTACCAGAGATACAACTGAAATCCAGACATGGAGACAATCACTAGGGAATGTTTTTAAAATGTTCCAGTGAATTGGAATAGTCTAGAATAAACTTCTAGACACACATTAGCTACCAAAACTCAACTAAGAAAATATAAAACACCTAAACTGAAAGACTGTCAGAGTCAGAGGCAGTGGATGACAATACAAACTGTTTTCTGGACAAAGCAGGGCAGTTGCCCATTTGAGTTTACAGCATTGTGACCTGCTTAAGCTCATTCCAGAAAAAAGTCTCAGCACCAAGAGGGGATGTTGGAAAAGAAGTCATACCCTGATGAGCTATTGACAACTGATAGATTCCAGGAGAGGGAGAATACATTTTAAGGGTGTGGCCCCTGGTAGGTGGGACTGACCACGCTTCAGTGGAAGGCCATATATCCAAAAGTATAAGGACAACAGAAACTGTACTTGATGGTGAAAAATAAGACAAAAAGACACAAATTTGGGTGGCAGGAAAGGGAGTATAGAAGATCTGAGAGAAATTGGAGGAAGGGATAAACATGACCAAAATATATTGTATAAAATTCTCAAAGAACTAATTTAAAACAGAAAGAAAAGCAACAAAATTGAAATAGTAATTTAAAATAATCTCTTAACAAACAAACAACAACAACAACAACAACAAAAACTTCAGGACCAGAAAAACTCATTGGTGATTTCTATCAGACCTCTGAAGATCAGAGTACAGAGCTAAGCCACTAGTTAACCATAGAGGCCAGGTGTTGATGGCTCATACCTTTAATCCCAGCACTCAGGAGGCAGAGGGAGATGAATTTTTGTAAATTTAAGACCACTCGGGGCTACATGAGATTGATCCAGTCTAAAAGAAAAACAGAGCCAGCTGGTGATGGCTCACACCTTTAATCCCAGCACTAGGAAGGTGGAGATCTAAAGGGATATGGCTGGGCAGAGAGAGGAATATAAGATGGGAGGAGACAGGAGCTCATTGTATTCAGTCTGAGGATTTCTGGAGACAGACTCTTGTACTCTTTCATTCTGAGGATGGCTAGAGGTAAGAAGTCTCTCTAGATGCTGGCTTTTTTGTCTTAATGGTTTTCAGGAAAGCTTTGTTAGAGCATACATAAAATATCACCAAGATACCAATGCTTCTCAGACGATTGCATGAAATGAAAAGGGGATGGATGCTTCCAGACGCATCCTAGGAGCCTGTATTACTCAGGTACCTAAACCAGGTGGATACAGTAACAAGAAAAAGGTATAATCAACATC